GTGTTAGGCTTATCTTGTTGTTAATTGTTTTTTAATCGGGTTTGGGGGAAGAGTTGGGCTAAGAGTCAGCGATAATGCTGCTCTTACAGATCATATCACGAAGAGACAACATTAATGTACTGACAACGATTTGAAAAAGTTCCTTTTCTTTTTACTGAAGATTTGAACTGCCTCAAGAATCCTTGACATAAGATCCGATCCATTAATGTATTAACTGCCTCAAAAATTCCACAACAGTTACTAAAAATACATAGCCATGAATTACAACAAAATCAACGTGCATATTAGTGGGTTCATCAAATTCCATTAAAATACTTTCTTACTCAAATTTCAATAGGTTTTCAATTTGAACTTCCTTTCTATCTTTTCAAAAAAGTTTTGTTTCGAGGTTTTGTTTTAAAATCCTGAATTATGTTTGAAAGGATTTTTAAAATTTAAAATTTTAATTTTACAAAATAATCTTAATTTCCATCCTCAAAACTAAATCTAAATTGTAAATATATATTAGTTAACTATATAGACGGCAAAATCGAAATCAATATTTTGGACTGAAGCACATATTTCACTTACATAATGGAAATAATCAAATATAAGATGGTGGAGGTCACAAGTTTACCATCTATATACTCGGTAGATGTTCTTTTATAGATAGATCCAGAATTCTTTAAAAAAAAATTCAGAACAAAATTGGTATAATACACTAGAAAGATTTGATGGACTAATGGAATCAAGAAACACTAGAGCGAGTCTTTCACTAGGACATAATGACATTCATAGGGATAATAGAATCAATAAAAAATTTACGTGAATTTAGTATTTATATTTATAATAGATTATTTTCAATTGGTGAAAAGGACTTTGAAATTAAAAGAATTGTCAACTTTTTTAAATTATTTGGAAGATATTAAAATACTGAAAATGAGTTTTCATAGTTTTGAGATCGTTCTTATACCTCAAAGACATATAGCCTCATACACAGTGTTCATAAACAGATGTTATTGGTTGTTCACACTGACGCATGATTGTCAGTTTAGTTTACGGTTTTCATGAATGTTTATGTTGATGACATCATTAACATGTCTATTTATCTTTTTTAATGAATTTTTTAATTATCTTGATTTTGTTTACTATATTTATGGAAAAAAAAATTATTATCTTCTTTTCTCTTTAATTAATATATACATTTATTTTAGGAAAATGATTTTTTAGTACAATGACTCAACGGTCATCAACATATATCCAAATTATAGGATAAGTATGACACTTATTTGATTTTTTGGTGAAGATATGTTTTTATTAGAATATATTGATTGGTATATTGTTTCTTACTACGTTTGCTTATTATTAATTTCTCCTATATTTGGAGATTTAATTTTAATATGTAAATGGAAACATAACATTTTCATAAGCGAATCTATCAACTTTGGAAAAAGAATCAATAAAATACACTTTTTTATTTTCTAATATTGAAATATAATTTATTTCTTTAAGAATATGTTAAGGTTAGTAATGTTATAGTTTGGGTCCAGTACGCTTAGATCTATATTATGCAATAAAGGGAGATATTATTGATAAGAAGAAACAAATCCATTTGTAGAATAATATCTACATATATATTTTTCTAAATATTTCCTGGTAGATTTTTTATTTTCATTTATTTTCGTTTTTGATTATTCATTCATTGGGACTATCAGACTTTACGTGTTTTTTTGTTTAGGGTTGTCAAGCCCTATAAATACTAGACCATAGTGTGTCAAATTTCACACAAACTAATACACAAAAGACAAATCTAAAAAAAATAAAATTAAAAATGTCTGCAAAACAGATCTTCGAGAAGTTCGACAAGAACAACAACGGCAAGCTCTCATTGGAGGAGTTCCGTGAAGCAGCTCTTGCTTTCTCTATGAACATTCCTGACGAAGAAATCGTAAATATGTTCAAGGAATTTGACGTGGACGGTGACGGTCAGCTTGACGCTGACGAGTTTACTTCGTGCATTGATAACATGCTGAAGGAAGCTTTCGCTTTTTGTGATACTGACGGTGACGGAAAGGTAACAGCAAGTGAGTTCCATGCGGCCATGACTGGGCTTGGGGATGAGTTCACAGAAGAAAAATGTGCAGAGATGGTTCAAGCCGTGGATGCAGATGGTGATGGTTATCTGAGCTTTGAGGAGTTTATGGTTATGATCATTGGCGAGTTTTAAGAAATAGGTGATGAGTGGTCTGCTTGCTTAGCAACTATGTTTGCTTATATAATAATTAGCAAGCTTTATTGATGTGTATTGTCATCGGTTCAGAGATATCTCCACCGTTTCTTGTCTTTAAAAATAATTTCAAGTCCATGTTGTTAAATAAATTTCATGTGGGTCTTTAGCAATGATTATTGAAATCTAAAATAATTTTAGTTTTAGAATGTCCTGTTTAAACATTAAATCAACTGAAGAAAATGTTTATGTATAAAGCCTAAAAAATATGTTTATGTACAAAGTTTAAGAAATTGTGACCCATTAGCTTGTTCTTGGTGTAATATAAGAGCATCTCCAAGATATTTTGTAAATAGTATAAGAACATATTGTCGGACAGTATATCAGAAACTAAAGGAGTCTTTGTTTCGGGTAAGATTGATCTCCGACAACAATTTGATTGCTCGTGAAATAGTATAAAATCTCCGGACAAATGATATAGTATCTGATGGTTTTATGGAGGTTAAGGCAGACATGTCCAAAGTCTATGACCGGATGGAATGAGATTTCTTGGATACTAATGGTAAAGATGGGATTGATCATGTCTTGCGTGAGCTCAATATCCTTTTCGGTCCTCATGAATGGGAACTCGCAGTCATCAAATCCAAGTGTAGTATTAGACAAGGGGATCCTCTCTAGCCATTCTTTGTATTTATCTTGTGCGCAGAAGTTTGGTGAGTTTCCTTAATTTTGATGAATCTCGGGGACTTCTGTCCATCAGCTTCGCGTTGCAGACGACATTCTTATGATGTGTATCTTGTCTCAAACGCTATAGAGAGGTTTCTGGTCAGATCATCAACCCCTTAAATCTCCAGTAATGTTTGATGCAAAAATTCCAAAGAAAAATACAAAGGAAGTGTTTAAACATGTCTAAAATCAAAGAGGAAGCTACTGAGTTTTATCTGAAAAAGCTCTAGGAAGGCTCCAAGGCAGGTTTTCTAATCCTCTATCTCAGAGAGGTAAATATATTATTTTCAAATCAGTGGATTTTGAGCTTCTAGTGTTTGTAATTTTGTGTCTTAAGCTCCCTAAGGATGTATGCTCCAAGCTTACTAGGCGATGATTGAGTTTTGGTGGAACAAAAAAAACCATAACTTATAGCAGTTGTATATGTATACTAATATTTTATTAGATGTGATAAAATTAAAGAAAGCATCGTAAGTAAAAATGTATTGTAAACAATGAAACAAAACATTTTATAAAGCCAAAATTAAATAAACTATGGAGATAGGTAATGTGTGTGATATCACGACTTCACATAAGACGGCAGCTACTCTCATCTCCGGACCAACCTCCACCTCCATAACCTCCACCTCCATAGCTATCAGGAACGGATCTTGAAGGGTACCCATTATACATCGACTGACTCCCCTGCGGCACCCATCCATAGCTATCAGGAGTGGGTCCTGAAGGGTATCCATTATTCATACCCCATTGTTGGTTATAGCCGTTGTAGGACCCACCATACATCGGGTGGCCCGGCTCTGGATTATAAATCATTGTTTGAGAACTCGAAGCTGCTGGAGCTGGTTTTGGCTTCTCTGCTTCTTTAGGCTTGTCACCTTCTTTAGGTTTGTTACCGTCTTTAGGCTTGTCACCGTCTTTAGGCTTGTCACCGTCTTTAGGTTTGTCACCGTCTTTAGGTTTGTCACCGTCTTTAGGTTTGTCACCGTCTTTAGGCTTTTCAGGTGCCTTAGGCTTTGGTGCCATAGGGTTTTCGATACCCCACTCGATGGTCTTGATAGAACCACCTCCTTTGTTGCAGAGTTTTTCCGCAACTTTTTCGGGACTGCAACAAACCACTTTGATCGTGACTGTTTCTTTTGACTTGTCGTCGAACACTTGGTCTTGTATCTCTTTAGTGTTTTTTTTTTCAAAGCAATCAAACGAAACACACACACACAAATTAATCACTCATTCTCAATATTAAATGAAGAAAAAAAAAAGAGAGAAAAGAGATAACTTACGAGACAAGCTACAAAGAGCCCTCTTGACTTTCTTGAAGTTCTCCTCCTTGTCAAGAGGTTTCGTCGTCAACTTCATCCATGTTACCTGTTTTTATGCATATATCATTATGGTAAGAACAACTATTTTTTACTTGGTAGGTTTTCAAAGAGAAGTTATTAGATTAAATATTACCTTCTCCTTGCCCACCACCGGCATGGTTTCCAAAAAGAGATAACGAGAGATTAGAGAGCTAACAAGGGGAGAACAATTATGTGTGATATTCTATGAATTTCTATGCTTTATATGTGGAGTTCAAGAAAGATTATAAGAGGAAAAATAGTTGAATAATGTACAATTTACTTCTTTCCTAGATTTATATTTACGTTCAAAAATTAATACAAATATTTCGTAGTATTTCCATTGCTATTACTAATACAAAGCCCGAAAAATGTAACTTTTACTTTTATTTTGTGCTAATTATCCAAATATTACTTTTCCCTAACCATTGTGAAAACAAATAAATCTAGAAAATATAAATGTTGCTTCTTAAATTCTTATTGGCATCATTGCCTCCAGGCCAATGTTTTATACATACAATATAACTCTTTTAACCTAACTATACTAATTCCTTAACTGCTATATTTGACTTAACTATAATATACTAGATTTTCATTTGAGTTTTCTAATCTCAGAAATACAGTAAAATTAAACTAAAATTAAAATTTCACAAAATGGTTTTAAATTTCTGTTTTATATATAGACGTGTTTTATAGCAGAAACATATAAATATTTTGCTTTAAAATAAATAATTAACCCATCTTTGATTTTTTTATCACTTATGTTAATTTAAAATTGTTAGAATATAATAAACTGATGGGAAAATTGCCAAATATGACTCAAAACTTGATTTGAAATGCAAAAGTAAACCCAAACTTGAATCAAATGCAAAAGTAACTTAAAAGACTATTGAAATTACAACCAACCCCTTGTGAACAAACAAAAAAATGTATTTTTTTTTACGTTTCTAGCCCTCGCAAGTCGTCTTTCCAGACGACTTTCAACTAAGTCGTCCAAACGACTTAACTGAAAGTTGTCTAGGACAGGTTTTCTTAAAAATAATTTAAAGTTTGTGTAATAAATATTTTGATAAATGAAAAATTGGAATTATGTAATTAACATATGTCTTAAGAGATATAAATTAAGATATAACAAAAGTCAGTTGTTTTCAGCATAGATGAGTGAAAGTAGTGAGTCATGATATTCTTTAGTTTAGGTTTCTCCAACATATGTGGTAGTATTGTATGTGTTTCTTAGGGTTAGATTTTCGAAAGCATAAATGTTTTTTTGAAAAATTAAAAATTTACCTAAGTGTGTTTATTTCTGTGTATAGTAAACAGTATTTAAGTATAATTTGATTTTATAACGTGGTTACTTAGTTAATTTAGTCAATTTAGTTTAGGGTTTAGGGTTTAGGGTTTGGACGACTTATAATTAAGTCGTCTGGTAAATATATTTAATAAGGCAGACGACTTAGTCGTCTTATAGTATCAACAGAAGACTTAATTATAAGTCGTCCAAACCATATTTTACCAAATTACTTTTAAACCTAGCCGTATTTTTTACCGGACATATATAAGATGTTTTTTTTTTACTCACTTTTTCGCGAAATTCAGAAAACCCTAACACCGTTTCTCTCAAAGGTGATTTCGAGGCGATTTCGATCTGATACAAGACCAAGGTAAATCGAAGGCTTCTCTTGCAGATTTATGGGTTTTTATTAGGATAGATGTTGTTTTCCTTTACTTTTACCGTTTGGTTTTGTGTTTTCAACGATTTCGGGAAATTTTGGTTTCAAATTAGGGTTTCAAAAATTGGGGATTTCAATCGATTTGTTGTTTAGTTAGGTTGGATGTTGTTTTCCTCTCATTTCACGGTTACGATTTGTGATTTCAAGCAATTTGTGGATATATTCATTTCAAATTAGGGTTTCAAAGATTGGGGATTTCAATCGATTTGTGGTCTAGTTAGGTTGGATGTTGTTTTCCTCTCATTCGTCTGGTCAGCTTTCAAATGTTCTACTGGAAGTCTTGGTAGACTTATAATTAAGTCGTCTGGAAAGTTTTCCAGGTGGACGACCCATACGACTTAATATAAGTCTTCCAGACTTAGAATTAAAATGTTTTCATTTCGTTTCTTGTTTGCAGATGGCGAATCAGCATGAACCTCACTTCTTGAAGCCTCTACTTCCTGGTTTCTGCAGTGGCGTGGTATACACACGCTCTCTATTTCTCCTCTGTTTATTTCCTTTGCTTAACTTCTCCTTTGTTGACTTGTAGACAATACCACTTGCCTTCTACTCAAAACACATAGAAGGCAAGCCGAACCAAGGAAAATGGACACTACGATTAGACGCCTCACACCAAACTTGGGATGTTATACAAGAAGGAAGAACACTCACCGATGGTTGGAAAGCCTTCGCCCAAGCACACTCCTTTTGCATCGGTGAAATTGTCGTGTTCAAAAAGGAAGGAGACATGGTATTTCATGTGACTCCTTTCAGTCCTCCTCAAGGGGATGATGCTGCGGATGGTGCCTCAACTTCCTCGTCTCTTCCTAAATGAAATGTTGTTTGTCTTGCTATTGTCTTATTGTAATCTGCTTCTAATGGACCTGTAATGGATGACTTCTATGTTGTTGTTCCCTTGTTTCAAAATGTTTTTAAACCTATGACTTGTAATGGATGATCAACTATTATAATTAGTCGTCTGTCGGATAATGTACATCGGACGACTTAATATTTAGTCGTCTGTATATAGACGACTTATAATTAAGTCGTCTAGAAAGTCATCCAGCCGGAAGATTTGTCAGACGACTTAATTATTAGTCGTCTAAGAATTCTAACACAAATTCTTAAAACATACTCATAAAGCCTGGACGACTAAGTAGACGACTAATATTTAAGTCATCTGGAAAGTCATCTAGCCGGAAGATTTGTCAGACGACTTAATTATAAGTCGTCTATATACAGACGACAAAATATTAAGTCGTTCGATGTACATTATCCGACAAACGACTTACTAGTAAGTCGTCCAAAACGGACCGAACCTTTAATTTTACCAATGTACTTTTTAACCTAGCCGGTTTATTTACCCGACGGTTTATTTACCCGATATATAAGGTGTTTGTTTTTTTTTGTTCATTTTTTCGCGAAATTCAGAATTCCAAAAGTTTCTCTCAAAGGCGATTTCCGACTATTTCCGAGCAAACCATCGTCTCACCACCGGTTATCTATCCCATCATCGTTCTCACCGTTCTCACCACCGTTCTCACCACCGTGCTCATCAACGCTCTCACCGCCGCTTCCTTTAAACCCTAGCGTTGTTTCTTTGTAAACCCTAACGCCGGTAAGTCATATCTCTTACTGTCGAGGGATTGATTGAGGAAAAGATGAACATAAACGTTGTCTCTAACCATTTTTATACTTGTTGTCATTTTTTCGCGAAATTCAGAATTCCAAAAGCCGTTTCTCTCAAAGGAGATTTCCGACTATTTCCGAGCAAACCATTGTCTCACCGCCGGTTATCTATCCCATCATCGTTCTCACCACCGTTCTCACCACCATGCTCACCAACGCTCTCACTGCCGCTTAAACCCTAATGCCGGTAAGTCATATCTCTTACTGTCGAGGGATTGATTGAGGAAAAGATGAACATAAACATTGTCTCTAACCATTTTTATACTCGTTCTCACCGAGCTTCTTTTCACGTTTATTTTTTCAGATCTATAACCGCTATGTCGACGGCGACTACTTCTTCCCCGTCTAAACAGGTCCGCTTTAAAATGTTATACTGGACGATTTATAATTTAGTCGTCTGGAAAGTCTTCCAACTGGACGACTTAGTAGACGACTTAATTATAAGTCTTCCAGCTGGACGACTTTACAGACGACTTAAATATAAGTCGTCTACTAAGTCATCCAGTTGGAAGAATTTACAGACGACTAAATTATAAGTCTTCTACTAAGACATCCAGAGTTACAATTAAAGCGTAATTGATTTAGCTTGTGTTCTGAATTCTATGTGAGTTCCTGCTAATGAAAGTTGAAAGCTTTGTTAGATTTAGATTGTTTTGCTTATCTCTGTTGTTGTCTTTGATTATTTTGCAGACAAAAAGATGGATCTTCCAGAACTCCCCCGTAGGTTATATACATCAGGGGAAGAGCCAATAGCCCATAATAGCATTTAGTATCATTCGGATAATACCAACTTGCAAACTTCTCTTAAGGATGCTCTTACGGATGAGGAATATGCAGAGCTGAAGGAGTCGAAGTTGGGTGTTTTCATCAAGTTCAAAGAGCTGGGATTTCGTTAGGCTTCACGGCTGGTTCACTACATGCTCAGTTTCCAGCTGGACATAAAGAAGAAGTATGAGCTGTGGTGTCTCGTTGGTCCAGAACCGTTGAGGTTTTCACTGTTTGAGTTTGAAAACCTCACTGGTCTTAACTGCGAGTACATCGAGGACCTTGAGAAACCAAAATATGAAGTTACATAAGTCGTCTGGTAAGTCGTCTACGTGGACTACTTTGTAGACGACTTACCGGACGACCAAGTGATAAGTCGGCTGCGCAGATGACTTATCACTAGTTCGTCTGGTAAGTCGTCTACGTGGACTACTTTGTAGACGACTTACCAGACGACCTACTGATAAGTCGTCTGCGCAGACGACTTTGTAGACGACTTAAATTTAAGTCGTCTGGTATCTTCTGCTTGTATTATGGTATCTTCCGACTTGTATTATTTTATATGCAGCATATAGATGCTTGGATTAATGTTCTGAGGTAGAGGTACCAGGCTAATTCACAAGCTTTCAGGAGCGAGAGAATGTGCTTCCTTGATCACAACTTTTCTCAGACTTGGAGAGCCTAGTACGATGATTTTGCCCAGTCGGAGGGCGATTGTAGGGGTTTAGGAAGAAGACTCCCTGGTGGGGCGTGGAGTTACTATGACGGATCAATACCTTCATTTTGCAAATCGAACAAGACTTGGGGGGGGGGGGAGATTGATGATATCTACGCGCCAGTGAACTTGGACAATGTTCATTGGATTGCTATCTGGATATCGATCCCTGACAAGCACATAGTCGTCTGGGACAGCATACCTTCCAGTACGTCCCAAGAAAGACTTGAAGAGATAATGAAGCTTTTTTGCGAGATGGTC